TGTCGTTTTGGTGTACCTTTAGAGATTCACAGCGATCAAGGAAGGAATTTTGAGTCTCAAATATTCCAGGAAACTTGCCGAGTTATGGGTACTCATAAAACAAGAACGACTTCTTATCACCCGCAATCTGATGGAATGGTAGAACGATTTAATCAGACATTGGAGAGGTACCTAGCAAAAGTTGTAGACAATCGGCAACGAGATTGGGACAAGCACATACAACCGTTTTTGTTGTCATATCGAAGCGCTGTTCACGAAAGTACAGCAGTGACACCAGCTTTCGCAAACTTTGGAAGAGAATTACGGCTGCCTGCAGACCTGATCACCGGGATACCACCTGATGCTCCACGCAGTATAACCGATTATGCAAATGACTTGCGGAACAAAATGAATGACGTTTATGAGCACGTCAGACAATCGGGCCAGCAAATGTCTGAAAAGATGAAAACCCGGTATGACCGCAAAATGAACAACAAAAGGTTCGACGAAGGTTCACTTGTGTGGTTGCACAATCCAGTCCGCAGCAAAGGGAAATCTCCTAAGCTTCAAGCTAAATGGGACGGCCCGTACCGGATTGTGACCAGGATCAACGATGTAACCTACCGGATACAAAAAGGCGCAAGAGGGACTCCTAAGATCGTCCATGTGGATCGCCTAGCGCGTTATTATGGGACCGATAATGCTCGGGACGACCATGTCTTAGGAGGGGGCAGTGTTACGCGCTCCAATGCCTCAAATCGGCGCACTAGCGCCATCTAGTCTCGAACCGAAGAACTAAACTTCTTGAAGTTTAAAACTCGAACTCTCGGTACCTTGCGCGTGTTTGCTTGAACATTCTGGATATTTTGCTAATTTATATAAGTAGGCGCTGCAAGATGCGATCGAGGCAGAGTTGAACTCGGCGACACAAGCGAAGCTTCAGAGCGGAATTAAGTGAATTAGTGTGTTTAATTATTAGTGTTTTTAGTTTTAATTTGTGTAAAGTAAATTAAAGTGTTAATTTAGGTAATTTTATCGGCAATTTTTATTGTCACGAACCCTAAGCTCGTAACAATATTATACATGTAACTATCGAAAGTAAGACATTCCGGCCGTTTAATTACTTTTTCGGGCATTATTCTTGCAACTTTTAAATACACATTGCGGCATTGTGAAACGTGTTTAAATTGGCTGTGTTTCAAGTGAACTAAACAAAACAAGAGCTCACGTCTCATGTGCGCTGTTATTTACTTAGATGGATTTCTTGCGCAAGAATTAATAATAATTAATTTATTTTTTAATAATTAATTTTTTACGCGTTTGTGAGGATTATGCTGTTAGACATGGTTTGGTATACAATGCTAAGAAAAGCCAGTTTATGGTATTTAGAGCTGGAAAAAGTGTCCAAAGAATGTGCCTCCTATTTTGCTTAATGGCACTGCCCAAGGAAGAGTAAAAGAGTTTAAATATCTAGGCCACTACATAAATGAAAATTGTAAAGATGATATGGACATCGAGAGGGAGCGATGGGCACTATCGATCCGTGGAAATAAGTTGATTCGTAGGTTTGCGCGGTGCAGCAAAGAAGTTGAGATTTACACTCTTTAAAACCTACTGTCAATCTTTTTACGCATGCAGCTTATTGACAACGCATACGTAGCGCGCTTACAGTGACCTTCGTGTTTTACATAATAACAATTTCAGGGCCCTCTTTGGGCTACCTCGATTTAGTAGCGCATCAGGGATGTTTGAAGAAACACGAACAGATGACTTCTTCGCAATAATGCGTCAGAGTATACTCGCTGTTGAGCAGAATACGTGGCAGTATAACGAACGTGTTCGCCGAAAGATGTTACGGGCATATGCTAGATTATTGGAACGTTTTGTTGAAAATTGACTACTCATATTTAAGGAACTAACATTAGTATAGTAATTTTTTTTCATCTTGTCCTATTTTTATGTATTACATAGTTGGTACATATTTTAAATATTGATGGAATACAAATTACGAGGTTCCTTATTTTTGTATAGATTTTAAATAAGTTTGTATTTTGTTCTAGGTCGAAAACGATATGGAAAACTACGTGAAGTACAAACTAGTTGGTGGTCTCCTCAAACTTAAAAAAGATGTTTTGCCTCACAAGTTTGCTTGTTAAAATCGGTATACAGAAAAACCACAAAGATTTTTACTATCAAAACTAAATGCCAAATCTAGGTCAGAAACAGTTGCACATGCGATTGCCACTACTTCACAAGAAATTGAGCATAGATATGTTATCAATCCTGTTACTACTCTAGATGATAATATTGACATTGATCCCTTGCCTGAAGAATATATAACTACGCTTTTAATCATAATAATAATGCGACCCTTTTTCTATTGATATTGAAAACATTTGATTTTTAGATAAAATCATATTTTTATACACCGAAGGTATATTTGTAGTAAATTTCTTTATATACAACAGGATTTTTTTAACCATAAAAACCACAAAAGGTCAGGGTGCACTTAATAATAAGAAAACAAAACTAGTTAGAGGCAGATAGTAAGTAGGTAGGTAAGGAATGTTTACGTATTTTTATTATACTTATTCTTATCATTAGCAAATGAAACCCAGAAGTATTAATGTAATAATGGGTACCTAGATTATAAACTATTATCTTATTTTTATTTCAGCCGCGACAAAATCTTTGTTTCTTAGAAAATATTCCGCCACCATCATGTCACGGACTATTGGAAGGTTGTCAGATTGACCTTTTGAAACCCTTCTTCCATCATTAAATACTTAAATACACCAGAGCGCACGACGGCAAACAACTCACCCGCAAAATATTACTACAAATATTGATTTATATATTAATTCAATGACTACAAACGTATGATCGGCGCGCTGGAACGGTATGGCGGCGCGGTCGCATGGAATCTATGACGTCACGCGTTACTCGCGGGCACGGGCGAGATTTTAAAAATGTACGTAAACTTTCCACGCTTATAACTTCGGTAATAGTGCACCGATCAATGTGAAATAAAAAATAGAATTATGTGTTTGGTCTAGACATTTTACCTACGTACTTAAAAGTTTAATATTGTAACCTTGTTATCTTCTCCATTGATCGCTTACGTACTGTTATACTCGTATACCATGTATTTTACTACTGTTTTAACTGTTAAATTTGCTGTGAACTTTCTCTGCCTATTCCCTCTACTGTTTGCTTCCTTTCCGTGCTGTATGATTCAAGCCAAGAAAGATTGGGAATACATAACAAAATTTGGAAGACAGAGTTGAAAATCTGCAGAGAGAAAATACAAAACCAAATATACAAATAAAAAATGCTCCCTTTAATTGCTAATGAAAGTGAGAAAGAGTTGTTATATATGGCAGTGAAGTTATCGTAGAATTTATCCTATTCCATTGCGAAAACAGATATAAAAGAAATCTACAGAGTTAAAAACAAGAACGATGAAAACAATAGCCCGATTGTAGTGGAATAATCGTCCACCATCTTAAACAAAGACTTCTTAAGTTCCACCAAGACATTCAATATAATACACAAAAAGAAACTCTGTGCCAAGCACTTGGGACACACAAAACACGAGTACACACCTATATGCGTTTCCGAACAGTTGACCGCCAAAGGTCTCTCAGGACCGAGTGACTACAAATTCTGCTTGTCCTCTCATGGCCGGGTCTATGTCAGAAAAAGTGAAAATACACCAGTAATCCTAGTAAGAAGTGAATAACAAGTGCAAAACTTATTACAGTTGAAATTACTAGTGTCAAAAAATCATCTGGCTATTACCCTTTCATCTTTTGTAGGTTCTATTACTTTAGTAACTCCTCGTACACAAATACCATTCTCGCAAAAATAATTGTACTGATCTCTTACACAGCAACTTCAAAGAATACAGTCATTACACAAACAAACACTTTCATAACACACACAATGTCAAAAACTATAACACACACTTTTACACTCATTGTCTCAGACGTAGAAGATTGGCTCAAGACTCTAGATCCAAGTGTACGTAACTTAATAGACGGTCCTGACGATGTAATTTCAGAATGGAATCGGAATCATTACAAGTTTATGATAAAACCTACTGTCAAACCTACGTTAGATTCGACCGCTCCTCATGTTAACAACGCACTCCAGACGATCGCGTGTCAAGAAAAATATCACAATGCCATATTTTGCCCGATATTCAAAGAAATTGATAGACGTATAGAAAAGTTGTATAAACAAAATTTTAAAGTATTTACTAGAGTAACTAACGAAGATTTTTCTGCGGTGATGAATGATGTTATTCATTCTGAAATTTCTTGAAACACTTTTGCGTAAAGGAGCGCAAATGCACAAAAGCAAAAGGAGGACATTTCAAAGTATGATAAGAGTCAGGGATTGGCGACGTTAATTTTTGATTTTTTACTTATGGAATTATTCGGAGTTAAAAAAAATTATGTGGATTTATGGTACCACGCTCATGCTCAACTGTTTTAACCGATATTGAAAACGGAGTAAAGTATAAAGTTGACTATCAGCGTTAGTCTGGAGATGCTTCGACGTTTTGTCAAAATACAAGATTTTTCATGGCTGTAGTGTCAACAATGTTCGATATGGATCAGATCAGTATATTTGCCGGTGACGACAGCTGGTTGTAGACCAAACACGATTTTAAGGATATGAATGCATGGTGTGCAACTCTTTTAAATTTAGAATCATTTTTTTTAAATATAAACGTTCTATCTATTTTGTTTCAAATATTTCGTCCATGGTGGTATAAAGTGGTATGTGGTTCCGGATCCGCTGAAATTACTCGTTGAAATAGGTAAGAGAGACTTATGCGATTTCTCTCATGTTTGAAAAGATGTAAAATAAATATTAATAGTATCTAGAATACGTTTGGTATATCTCAAAACTTATTTTCCTACGTACCAGTACCCGAGTAAGAAAATGAACATGGATTTTTAAAAACATAGACAAGTTACAACTAAAAAAAAATAACACAAATTTACATCACTATGGCACAATCTATAATAGGCTACGGCATCCCAGTTTGGGGAGGTGTAACAAAAACAAAATTTTTGGAAATTGAAAGAAGTCACAGTAAATCATCTTAAGGAGGCTACCTTAAAATGATCTACTATAAACCCTTTAGATTTCCAACCGAAGAACTTTATAAATTCTGTGAACTCCTGTCTGTGAGAAAACTATACATTTTATTAACTTTTTTTAAATTACACAAAAAATTAGCATTTGGATCTGAATTACTACATAACACAAGAGAAGATAGAGTCGCAACTGCCGATCCTTTTAAAACTAAATTTTCTAAACGACAATAATCCACACATTCTGTATATATTATAACAATTTAAATAGACAAATTGGTATTTTTCAATTAAAATCGAGCGTATTAAAGGAAACTGTAAGTAACTGGCATTTAGAAATGACGAACCATGGTATAGAATTAATCCTTCAAGAAATTAACTGAATTAAATACACGTACACTCACTCACGCACACACACACACACATACACACACACTCACACACACACACACACACAACACGCGCGCGCGCGCGCACACACACTCACCGCATGCTTAGGAATTTTAAGATTAGGATTATTATTAATGTTGTTGTTTTTCTTTTTTTATAATTTTACAACGATAAAATTTAGATATAGAAGAGCGGGACCTCAGCACAATATATATTTATTATCTTTGTACCTTTGTAATAAAACAACTGTCATTGTTACAGCAATAAACATTTTTTGATTTTGATTTTTTGAGGTAAATCAGGTTGACATACTCAGGAAATTTTGGCAGCTAGAAGAACGATTTCCTTCGAGTGAGAAAATAATTTCAGACGAGAAACAAAAGTGTGAATATCTTTTTGCAGCTACAACCACTCGAATATCTGACGGTAGATATGTTGTTGAACTGGCATTCAGAGATGTAGAACCGGCATCTAAGAGGGAAACTGAACTAGAAAATGTTCCTGATAACTGAATAAATAAAATTGTGCTTATCCAATGAAAAAAAAATTATGGTAATAGGCCCACTTGGCTGTATGCAATGAGGGTTTGGCATATTTAATTTACAAAGGTAACGCCTGATGGTGCCACTATATTTGTCATATCGTTTACTTACTGTAAATCTTATTGTTCAGTGAAAACTTGTTTGTTATCCTAATGTCAATTGGTTACGGGCCCCGGTCCATGTGTACGAACAGTTATATAAACAAAAATATGATAAACAAAGAGCAATCCGCAGAGAAAACTGTAAAGAAGTTGTGTTTTTGATAATAGAACCGTATTCTCCCTATAACTTAAAATGGAGTTTTAAAAGACAATGAACCTAGAAAAATTTGATGGAAAAAATTGTAAACAATGAAAATTCCAAATAAAATGTGCCGAAAATGTGTCTACGCCAAAGGGTTAAATATCAACATGCCAAAGCCAGAAGGAAATGCGATTCAATGGAATAAAGATGTTGGAATGGCAATGTTTATATTAACATCGGCTTAGGATTGAGATTCAGCGCTTGAGGTATTGACCAAACTTGAACCTATTTTATTTCTGAACAACAATCCGTTTAAAAAAAACTTTATAAGGATAATGTAATAGTGCTCTTTGCATATATACAAAGCAACAATTTGTATAAGTCACAAATGAAAACAATTCAAAATCCAGTTTGTAATGCAGTGCAAAAATGGACCTTAAAACATGACATGATTGTTCAGGACTTTTGAATGTTAAAGAAATACAGAAAATGTGTAAAAACAATGTGATTAATGGTGTGGAGTTATTAGACTGTGACAAGTTTGTATATGAGGGTTTGCTTATGGCAATGACACTCGTCAACCATTCCAGAAATTAGTAGAGGACCACAGTAACCATGGAATGACGAATACAATGATGTTTGTGGACAACTGTGTGCCTTATGTGCAAGGCATGAAATACTTTGTTATTTTTAAAGACGCTGTCTACTTTATAAAGAATAAATGTGATGTGTTAAATTGTTTTAAAAAATGTAATATAATGATGTAAAACAAGTTGGCACGTGTGAAATATACGTACACAAATTCACATGGTATTCATATTACTAATAGTGAAAAATACACGAGCAAAGACTTTAAAGAATATTTTGATAGAGCGATGGTATTTCTCATGAGCTAAACGCCACTTAATCACCTGAACAGAATGGGCGGGCAGAAAGAGAAATTAGAACAATAATTGAAAGTGCTCGATCCATGATTTATACCCGTAACGTAATATTCATGATATGGACAGAAGCGCTCAATAATGCTGTTTATTTAAGCAATCGCACATCGTCGAGTCAAACACAAAACATTACACCTATGGAGTTGTGGAGTGGTGTAACACCTAGTTTGCATCACGTCAGAGTGTTTGGACGTGAAGTATACGTCACGCTATCCAAGATTTTGAGAGTAGTTTGTCATCTAAGTGAACAGAGCAAATGGTAATCAACGCAATGAAATTCCTTTCTATGAATGTTGTAGCATGCAAGTTTCTATTCGCACGTCGATGACTAACAAATTTCCAGCAGATTTTTATGCACTTTTGGTGACATATAGTGTTAAGCGAGTACTTACCTAATGAATGTTATCTACAACAGGCTATCGATATGTAGTAAAATCATACAGTCCACAATGCCATGTCAGTTCAAAATAAAATCTCGTATCGTCCGTACATCTATTTATTACAAAATCCTGCTAAATAAAACTCAACCTTAGCGCTTTAGATATTAGGTCCTAAATCGTACCGGATTCGGGTCGTCGCCGGCCCTGTGCGAGCGCCGAATCACTCCGCGAGAACAATGGCATTCCTGAGCGATAAGTCAATGCAGATATTTTTAAGTGTTGTGTGTTGTGTTGTGAACAGTGTTGTGAACTTTGAAACACTATTTGATTAGTAGGTACTGTGGAATTATTTACGAATTGAGTGTTGTTTTAGTAAATTCAGTGAGTGATCGGGTTATAACGAGTTATAATACGAAAAATACAAACTAAAGCATACTTGCTTGCTACTTACCTCATATTTAAGAAATTTAGTTGAACTTACTGAGTCACTATGAACTGTTGTACGGTACGAACATTACGATGGAGTAGCTTTTGTTTTATCAAAATAAACGAGAAAGCCAAATTCTGGCCAATAATTATTTTTAAAAAATCAATAATTAGCAGCGTATTTTTCTTACTTTTATCCAGTTAAATAAGAAAAGAAACAAGTCAACGACTTTTAAACCATTGTTTAGTAAACTACTAAATAATAAATTAAGAAGAAAAGTATTGTAGATTACTTAGTAATTTAACCTAAAGGACAAAAAATCATAACGTTTTATTCATATTTTAAGATATTGAAGGTTTTTTGCATCTCCTGAAAAATTTGGCTCTCGTGACCTCTTCAAAATTTACAAGTTTGGGTTTGTGGTTGTTCTGGTGAAGAACTACAAACCAAAACCTGTAAAGTTGACGGTGAGTTAGGGACAACTGGCGGAAAGTAAAATGATACTTATATATACAATAGGCGAAGTTATTGGAGGTATTGATACAACTGATGGAGAACTGGATTGTATTTGTGCAATAGCGGAGTTGCAGGTAGTATCAGCACAACTAGCAAAGAGGCAGGTAGTGTTTGTTCTATTGGCGGAGATACAGGTGGTTGTGGCACAACTAGCGGAGATGCATATGGTACGGAAATGCAGATGGTAATTTTTCAATTTGTGGTATTGCAGGTGGGATTGGCATATCTGATGGTAAGGCGGACGGTACTTGTACGACAGGTGGAGTTGCAGGTCGCATCGGCACTAATGGTGGAGGAGCAGTTGGTACTAGTTCAATTGGCAGACTTACAGGTAATTCGGTACAGCTGATGATGAAGACGACGGTAGAACTGCTGCAATATTAGATAGTAATGCCATAACCGGCAGTAATTTCGATGATGCTTGTTCATTTAGACCTGCATCTTGGAGACCGGATTTTTAATATTTTTCTTCATTGAGGCGTTTTATTTATTTATTCTTTTTTGTACACCATAATACAGAAATATCAATATAGTTAAAACTAATTGAAGTATGTACAATAGGCGGTCTTATCACTGACAGTGATTTATTCCAGACAACCTTTGCGTAGAGGAATGATGCAAACAAAAGTTACAAATAGAGGGGGGCATACAAAATAATAATAAAAAAATACAATAATACATACAAATAAAAGTAAGTGATATATAAAGTTATATATAAAATACCATATAATAGATTAAATGAAAAGAGTAAGAGAAAGGTAAAATAATGTATCTAATAGCGTTCTAAATAATACGATTTAACAAGAATTTTGAAAGAGTGAAGAGATTTAGCACGACGAATATGGAGAAGTAAGGAGTTCCACAATCGCACAGCGGTTACGGTGAAGGAATTCTTGAAAAAGGAAGAAGAGTGCAAAGGTGTAGAGAGAGAGAAAGATTGACGGAGGATCGAAGGAACCGATTATGGGTAAGAGAAAGATACTGGAAACGGTTTTTTAAATAAAGAGGAGTAGAAGGATTAAACAGCACACTATACAACGCGGAGAGAATGTGAGTATTCCTGCGAAGGCGGATCGGGAGCCATTTGAGCTGTTTGCGAAATTCGGAGATGTGATCATATTTGCGAAGCCCAAATATAAATCTAATGCATAAATTTTGAATGCGCTCAAGCTTATTAAGCTGCTCCTCGGTAATGTCAAGATAGCAAATATCAGCATAGTCAAGGATAGGCAGAAGTAGAGACTGGGCGAGCGTAACTTTAGTTGCTGTGGGAAGGAAATTACGTAATCTACGTAATGTGCTTAACGCAGCGAACATTTTTCTACTGACCTCATTAACCTGTGAGGTCCAAGATATACAGGAGTCATGATACAACCCCAGGTTTTTAATCTTGTTACTGTAAGGGATTAGAGTGCAGTCTAGTATAAGGGTGTCAATTTTACCAATTAATCTAGAACTATCGATGACAGTGACCTGAGTTTTCTTAGGATTAATCGTTAAACCATAACATTTACTCCAATTCGAAATACAATTCAGATCAGCGTTAATAGTTTCAACTGCTTTAGATAAATATTCAAGAGAGGACTGAGTATAGATTTGGAGATCATCAGCATACAAGTGGTAGGAAGAGGACAAATTATGACTTATAGAGTTAATGAAAATTGTAAAAAGGAGATGAGAGAACACGCCACCTTGTTGTACACTAGCAGCTGTAGCAATCCAGGTGGAAAAAACCTCTTGCACCTGAATTCGCTGTCGGCGACCAAACAAGTAACTTCGTATTGGCAATCATTACTTTTTTATTATCTTCACTGCATTTTATTTTAGTATAAGTTAGGTACTTATAATTTTTTTCATTTTTAGATACTACGCAAGCGGTCACACCCAAGCTCTCGCAAAGTGAACGCACAAAACGAAGAAAAACTCCAGAAGCTTTTTGATGAAGCTAACACAGAAAAATTGTCTGATGATGCTGAAAATATGAAAAGAAGATAGACTTTTCAATAATTCAGAATTAAGTTTAACTAAAATTCTTTGCGAAGAAGGATAGCATTAATAATGTATGCATTCTTGAACGAAATCAGTCTCTAAATCATAAGAATACATTTATTCCAGGAGGAGAGCTTTTTCCGTACTAGTTGATGATTACAAATCATGCATTTTCCCTAAAAAATTAAAACTTCATTGCATCTGTTGTAAGCGTCCTACCGTTTTTCTAATTCGGATACGATTCTATCAATGAGGAAGAGAAATAATTATGTTAACCCTGAAAATATCACTCGGAGTTATTCTCATTTCTTCATTTGATGTTTCTTTTTTCCTTTTCATTTTTTTTTCAATTCTTTTGTATACTGCTTTGACACGCTTAATTCCATCGCCTTTTTTTCGAAATACCTGCTTAAAATTTTCTCGTTCAGCTACGAAAAACCTGCAAAAAGATTCGTAAGAATCGACAATAGTGATCAAATCTACGGTAAAAACCTGAATTTCAACATTCACTTTGTTTATTCTTTGCAAAAAAACATTCCACACAACAACCATTACCCCCAATTTCAGTTTTTATAAATTCAAAAGTATTCTCATCGCTTCGCTTCGAGTTACAAGCTTTTCGGTATAATCATCCTTGATTTATTCCAAAGTAATAAGGACATCGTACCAAAAATCTCTAAACTTCCACATGCGTCCTCTCTAGCCGACCAAGGTGTCAGAGTTACTCTCTTTAGCGTTTTCTCTTTCTCGATTTCAATCATTATTTTTTGCCAGCGTTGTGTCGAACTTATATAAAAATTTCTTGAAGCAACATGAAGAAACGACAAGCTTTTGGGAAAGATTCAGCAGCCGCAGTTGCCACTGAATTTCAAGAGTGGGCATAGTAAATAACAAAAAAATGCTTTCATTTCCGAGATAATGTCAGAAAGTACGTCTTCATCTATCTTTTTAAAATTTAAATCTCTTAAATTTCTCTGAGACATAAAAAATTGCCGCCTTAGGCTCCAGCCTACTCATCCTGCTGGTAAATCCGCCACTGGATAGTTGTAAACTTAAGCAAAAATTAAAAAATTGTTTTATAGATATTTGTTTTCTTTAATAACGTTTAAATAAAGGTTTTACATGATTATTTAGTCCTGCAGCTAACGCAAATTTTTTTTATTGCAATCTGCTAAAGCATCTGTGTCGTACATTCAACCCTTTTTTATAAGCTACATGACAGAACTGCTTTAGCATTCACGATTTCAATAACTGGTAAAGCAGTTGTGTTGTATTGAATTTGTAAATTATGTAAAAATGGGACAGAGCTGCTATGCCCTACGACTGCTCAAGCATTACTGTCCTTTACAACAATTTCTTTGTATGGAGTGCAACAGAACTGCTATAGCATTCCATAGAAAAAAGTAGTGTCAAACAGGTGTGACTTACTGTCCGCGAACGCGTTAACATCACAACTGTTAAATTGGCTAAAATTAAAAGCAGAGGTGTCCGGCGTGGGAGCTGTTGAAAGAGAGTCCAAAGTATTATGTTTTGCTTTATCGTTAATGCAAGACGAAGATGAGAAATGCAAATTAAGTTGATTGAGATCAAAGTTATGGTGTGTGAGATTTTGTCGTAATTTCCCAACTCCTAAGGACTTAAGAAATTTTCAGACCCTAGCAGGGTCAGGATCTTGTACTGATTCATGGATATGGCGTCGTTGTGCTTTTCTACACAGATTATTGCAACGATTCCGTACTAATCTATACTTATCTCTATTCAAATCGCTAGGAAGTGACTTATATTTTGACTTAGCTTTGGCACAATTTTTAATGTGGAAATATTTTTTTATATCATCGGTCAGCCAAGGAGAGGGAGGATGCTTTACACGCACTGGACGAACAGGAGCATGAACGTCATAAAGCTGAATTAACAGTGAGTTGAACAAAGCAACCTGTTCATCAACAGTAGACGCATTGACGTGATTAAAGTTACGCTGAAGTAGTATCCTTGACTTAGCTTTAGGGGGACGGATTTTGTATGACAAGTATAAAAGGTCGTGATAGGAAAAAGAATCAGCAGCATGTTGCCCAAATTTAAGAACATGGTCAGGTAAAGACACAAACATTATGTCGAGAAGAGAAGGGGCACAGTTCGGGAAAAAGTGTGTGGCAGAAGTAGGAAGAAGTTTAAAATTTGCTGCTTCAATAATAGATTTAAGTTTTATTGATCTAGCGTTGTTTTTTAAAAGACAAGTATTAAAATCACCCATAATAATACTGTGACAATGTTGATGTAAGATTGTCAAGAATATTTTCTAACGTGGTGAAGTAGTCGACAGTGAGAGAGGGACTGTAAAAAACTCCGAGATGTAATTTTGTATGACCAAGAAGAACTTCGATAAAGAGAAATTCAGCTTCGCTTCCAGTCTGCGAACCATTTGAAACTTGAATTACTGAAAAAGGTATATGAGAGCGCAGATAAATAGCAACACCACCACCGCCCCGATCGGACGGTCGTTACAAATCAAATGAAAACCTGGAATCGAGTAGGAAGTTGATGGAAGACACGGTTTTAACCACGACACCGAAACAAGGATAGCGTGTATGTTTTTGCTATTAAAACTTGACAACATGTCGGGGTAATGAGCAGGAATACTTTGAGCATTTATGTGAATAACGTTAAAGTTTTTGTTAAATTCAGAAAAAGTTGAATCTAACATAATATTTAAGGGTGCAATACTTTCAAAGCTGTCAATACTGCTTAATCCATTAGAGGCAGAATCAAAGGCGAAGGAATTGGAACTTCGAACACTATCATCCGAAGAAATCATATTAAATTATATATGATTATATATAAAACTAAGTAAATATGTATTATTATTTGTATGTATTATAATATGTATAATTATAAAATAAATAAGTCATCAGTAAACTACCTGCCAGCATTATGGAAAGAAATGTTTAATTCACTTAACGATAAGTGAAGAAACGGAACGTTACCATACCATAGACACAAAAGTGCCTCTCACTTTTGTGTCTATGGTATGGTAACGTTCCGTTGTTAATGTCAGATGAGTCAAAGTGTCAAAGTTACAGGACGTTAACTAGCAATTATCTACCTTACAATATACTTTTATCACTAATACTAAACATTCCAAAGAAAGATTACAATAATAATTACCAACATACAAGAAAAATTATAACACTAAATAATAAACATTACAAAGAGAGATTATTAATCATTACATTTTACTATCTAATCTACAATTAACAAGGAAAAGTAATGAAGATATGATTATAAAAAGAAAACTAAAATATGAAGTCCAGAGAAAAGTTATAACAGAATTACAAAAATTAATAAAATATAAAATAAAATTATTTGAGAAAAAATTCATTTTTTACCGGCCCTCTTAATACGCTGTGGTGCACCTTTATCTTCGGGGGCCTTATTTGCCTCAACCACAATAGGATAAACGGGTGAAGCAGAAGTTGACCAGTTGCATAATGCGTCAAGCTCAGACAAAGTCTCAAGTTGGTGCCTTGTGCCATCTGGAGTAAAAATATTGACAACTCCATCCCTGGTCCAACATTTGGTGATGCCATACCTTCGCCTAGCTTCTAGAAAAACACTGTGGCGCCTCCTTGTTAGAAACTCAGACTGGGTTATACCTGTGCCCTTAAGTTTGGTTTTGGAGTACCAAACCTTGTCTCGCATCACAGTATCGCTAAATTTGACAACCACAGGCCTGGAAAATTTATTGGAAGGGCGTCCTAGACGATGACAGCGGCTTATGGATGTTTTACTGAAACCTGGGACTAGGAGTTTAGTGCTGATAAGTGTACTTATGACGGCGGTGGTATCCTCAGATTTTTCTCCTGATTGAACTCCATGGAGTAGAATCATCTTTCTGCGGCGACGCATTTCACTACGATCCAGTTCTCTTCCCAAAAGATCTACTTGGTTATGCAAAGATGTTAAAGCAGCCAAGATGAATTTTCTAAAAGTATTAAAATCGCCTGGTAGGGAAGATGAAGTTGTGGCAGCAGAACTAGATTGTTGCAGTTCCCGCTGAAAGTTATCCATTTGACTTTGGAATGACTTTGACATCTCCATAAGTGAACCTTTCAGTGCTTCCATAGTGAAAGTAGTTGTAAAGTGCAGTGATGTTAGAGAAAATACTTGGAAATAAGAGCTGGTAGGTAGTAATTTATTACATATAAATAATAAACATGAAATTCAAACTGTAACTATTTTTTTAAATATATTTAAATCTAAGATGTCTAAAATGTGTACTACTCAATTCACCTACCCTCACAGAAAAAAAAATATTTTTTACGTTTTAGTATTATTTTACTTTTTTAGACTTGGAATTTACACATCACCATAACAAAAGCCTAAAATCACATAAACGTATGTAAGCGCCAGCCGGTATAGGTGATGTTTAATTATTAAAAACCTTCGCATAAAATATTATCCCAGACTAGTACAAGTGAAGTTTAAACAAAATAAGACAAATCACGATTAAAAAAATAGCACGCATGTGAAGATTAACTAACTTTAAAATACACCATCACGGAGACAAATAAAAAATTATTTACTACCGAAAAAATTATGTTTTGATATTTTAACACATAAACAATTTCAACAGCAAAATTACAAAAAAAAAACCTATGAAAAGTAGGAATGATTTTAAATGGTTGAAATTATATGGAAAATTATATATCGATTCGATATGGATACTCGTAAACTATACGATGAGTATTGTGTTATTAACTATATGTAAAAGTCATTAATAGAAGAAAAACATAATCATCCCCTGAAAAAGTATTGTTTGGTGTTTATGAACAATGACACAAATTATTTATGTCCATGAAAGAGTCACCTGGCTTTCTATATATCTTTCAGATGGTAGCTAGGTTTCAGGTAGTAGATACTACTTTATAATGCATCATCAGATTGTTTTCTCTCTGTGGAAACGCATGGACAGACAGCAGAAATAAGCTGGCCAAAACCTTTCTCTGCAA